CTTCAATCATTAATACACTTCCTGTAAAATTCAACTTTTAAAATTGAAATCAAACAAAGAGATATGTTCAGTTTAGAGTAATTACGTGATTAATAAAATTCTCTATATTGTAGTAGTTGTATATTGACTTTAAGTTACACATTTTCTTTAGTGATATTATCCTACTATCCTTATGAATGACACAGAATATGTATTCTCGTTTATCAACTATTCACTTAGTTCATAAATAAAGGAAGTATGCATATCTTTAGCCACAAATGAGTGACAAATAAATTATACGGATTGTCTAAAAAATATTATCTCAAATGAACTGCGACTTGAAATATTCGTCAACTGCATATTGAAATTTTTGTTTGACAAAAAAATAGATTAACTTGCATGAAAATATTAGTGTAACTATCATAGACAAATCCAGAGAGTGTCTATTGATCCAGTTTAAATGTTTCATAATTTTACAGTATTGGAAAGTGCAATCATCATTTTACACTGAAATGAAAAATATCTATTCAATCAAAACTTCTTGAACATCAGCGGTCTTTTGTATATTTGGAAATGAAAACATGATTATTCGTTATATTTTGCGGTTTCTAATCAGCTACTTACAACTATGAGAGTAACAAGGAGGTGTGATAAAAGAGAAAGTGACTGGCAGTATATCATATTCACTGTTACCCTTTATTATAATTAACTGTAAGCAGTTGATAAGAAATAACGTTATATAATGAATTTATGTTATTCCATCTCCATTGTTGTTATGGCAAAATTTAAATTAATTAAGGGAACTATTTGTAGTAAAACACCATTCGGCTACTTAAAGATTAGCACACTGTTTATCTTTGTCTAATAATTTGTGATGACTTATTTAATTAAAAAATAATTTCCTCATATGAATCCCCTGAATTAACAATTGAAACGATGAAATATTAGATGATAGTCTCGATATCAGTTTCCTAGTTAAGCAGTTACTAAACTTCTCGTAACCCGGAATATTAAGCTTTCGCACATGTCTCTGACTAGTAGTCAATAAACTAATTGATTGATCCCATTATCTCAAGTGGTAATCCTTTATTTTTAATGCAACTTACCTATACATCAGTGAGGTTTGTGCGTTGAAGTAGATAATTATTAGGCATACGGAATACAAGTCTTAATCACCTCAGTTGATTAAGGTTAATAGGTTCATGAAAAGAATCGTTGTTTATATCTACTGTCTTTTCCGAAACCTTAATAATAATCACTTAGAGGCGCAATAACTCACATCCAACAATTTCAAAACACATGCAAGCAAATACATACCGCTTACACATGATTTCTGCTTTGATGGGCCATGATTCACAGCCATAATGAGGTTCACAGAGAACTGCTAAGCCGTGTACTTTTGTTCATTTGATAAGTCAAATCAGTTGACGAATCACCTGAATCCCCGAAGAGGTTTTATCAGACACTAAATCAGTCTGATTTTTTAGGTTTTTTACTTTCTAGCCTTGATTAATCGTACCTAACATTTTCGATAATATTTCTTTAACTACTGCTCTAGCGTTTACAGTTAGAAGTTGAGAGCAGCAGCCATTAGGTTTTAGTGGAACACTTCTACGAACGAAACGCAATTCATAAAAAGAAAACATTTATTATTGTACTCTTTTCGTTTAACTGTACTAAAAACACTTATTTACACGTTGCTGCCGTCACTCATAACTTGCTGTTCAGTGTATCACCCTCTTCCTCCTTAAAATATATTCCTTACCCTGAATTTACTTCTGATTATCGTGACGGTATAGTAATTAGTATTTAGTGGTGATCATTGGCAATCTCGACTTGGTCACCACTAAAATGTCGAGACCACGAGTTTTAAATCCAACTGCTAAAATTAGACGACTATTCTTAAAAGGTATTTGGAACTGTTGGTAAGGAAATTGTTTACTAAAGTAAGTTAAGTATCACGCTTTGAACTAATATTCGCATTTATGTTCACTAACATACCTAATAAACATTAGATTTAATACAAGTTGGCATAGAGTTTAATACATATTAAGTCAACTTTACCAATGGACTTACTTTCAACATTTAACATAATTCTTCAATAGTCTAAGATCTTGTGAAGTAAATAAATTAAGTAAAAAAAAAAAAACCAGTTGAATAAACGAACATCATTGTATTATTATTGCCTTAGGGTGGAAAAAAAACAATACTTTTCGTTTCAATTTTCAGCAATTGTTTTTTTTTTTTTTTTAACACATATTAGAATAATCGCAATAAAGTGATTTTTTTTTTAAAAAACTTTTGTCTACATTTTAACTGGCTATTTAGTTTTTTAAAAAAATAATGATGATATCTTTGTTTTGATAGAAAATTGAAGTTATAATCAAAGCAAATACTGAGAAAGTAATGAGGCAAGTAAGATAAAACATGTAAATCTGGCCGTCAGGCATATTGAGTGTATTTAATTAATTATTGTTAACATTAACTTACCATGGTTAGTTGTTTGAAAAAAATAGATGATGATTACAAGCATGCGTTTCATCATGTTTTATTGTTACCTTTGTTGTAGGGTTTTTAGAGGTTTCGGGTTCGACTCGAACTTTTACGAACAGTTGGATATGTTATGCAATATAGCCCGCCCGTAGCTGCTACCTTGTTGTGGTGGTCGGGCTTGCCTATCGTGATGACCCAACCGAGCTATACTGGCTGGAACATATGTTCCTGAAGGTTCTACCATGCCAGGCAGGTCGATTGGAGAACGATGAGACTAAAAGCAGCTACCCAAAGTCTGGGGTCGAAGTTGTACTGCTGACTGCAGAGAGGTGTGACAGTAGTTAGGTGTTTCCCTCGGACAACCAGCATCTGTAGTGATGCTGCCTTCTCACAAGGAAGGAAGGTGTTAGAAAAGGTCGACCCTGAAAATGTCACACCTCACCTAACTCACGGATTTCTGTCTCCTTGGGGTAAGGGTTAGCGGAGCTAATAATCAAAAAACGTTTCATAAAAAGGCCGTGCGTGACCGGCCTCAAGCAGTTGTCCCTTGGGCTCTGCGGTCACGCACCCAGGTCTCCAAGACCAACACTAATCTATCTTACTTTTCAGGTCCCTCAAGAAACAAGCTTCCACGGTGTGGGCAGTCGGGAAGTGACAACCGCCCTCATACCCGTAACAGCACACGAGACCAAATCGGTCTAAATTATATCCTGCGTACACCCACACATACCTCTCGTATCTCCAAAACTAACTCTACTCACATTCCCTTATCTGACTGCACCGTTAATGCAAACGATGCGAGTTCACGAAACGTCATTCCTGGTCTCCTGAAACCTCGTTCTAGCCTACATGTTGGAGCATTTAATGTACGGACATTGTGTCGAATAGGACAACAGGCATCATTAGCTAGGACTTTAGAA